TGCAGAAGGGTCCGTTGCTAACTGTGTGGTTTCCATACAATTCCATGGATCGGGGTCATCTTCGTTAGGTGGACATGGATCTGTGCCGGCGCAGTCAGTGGGTGGATGCAGGGTTGTCGAATCATGGGTTGCTAAAGCGGCGTGCGAGGTCGGAACATCCAAGATTCTACTGCACATAATCGGGTCCCGCTCCAAGTCACGCGCAAACACCTCCACGACAATCTGCAAATAGTCCTGTTTGACGTTTTCCCATTCGGTCACTTCACATTCGTTGAGCACTTCTAGATGTAGCTCGATGATGGTGCGCTTATGCGCGCGTGGCGGGCGTCCTTTACCGGATATTGACGCAGGTTGCCTATCCCTACTCATCGCGTACCCGTAATCGGGTGGTGGTAGGTCGCCGCGTTCTAGATGGTCTAGAATTTCTTCGTCGAGTGGCGGTGACGGCACGTCACGAATGGTTCGATATGTTCGTCGTCGTCTTTGTCCGAGGTAAGCAAAGTACTAAACAGAAAAAGGGGGTAAAGAGCAGGGTGGGCACGGTAGGATAAAAGGAATGAACGAGGGTGTAGGAGAATATATGGGTTCGAACGATCATATAGTGGAGCCCGTAGTGAGTTTCTGAGGTATAAACATCCTGCACATGCGGCATGCCCGCATGGTCGTATATACGTACCTTCCATAGGAAGAATGCAATGATCCCAATACCAACAACGGCGGGAATGATCGCGGGGGTGTACGGGATAAGATCCTTGGGGTCGAAGGGTTTCGGGGAAGGAAGGGGAGGTTGAGGTTGCTCTTGCTGGTTGTTGTCTTGACTTGGACCACCGGAAGGAGAAGACCCGGTACCCGGAGTCCCAGTTGCTCCTGTCCCCGCAGAACCTGGACCAGAGGAACCGGGGTTTTGGGCCCCAGTAGAACCTGTACCAGAGGAACCACTTGCGTCCGGCTGACCGGTGCTGCCGCTACCGCTTGCACCCGATTGATTTGGGTTCGGGTTCGGTTTTGGTTTGGGTGGATTGAGAGGAGGGGGGTCATCGTTGCCTCCGTCGACGACGGCACCGTCAACGTGGGTTTTGTCCGGAGCAGGTGTACTGTTGGGTCCTGATGGTACACTAGCAGTAGGTTTCTGTGAGGGAATGTGGTCTCCTGAGTTCCCCGTTGTAGTGTCAACAGAGGGTGATGTTTTTGCAGGTTCAGCTGGTTCTGGTGGGGGGTGTGGTTCCGGTGCGGGGGCGGGTACCGGCGGTGAAGCCTCCTGACCGTTACCTGTCGTGATCTGTGTAGTTCCAGTACCTGTGAGTTTGAACGAAAAGGAAGAATATGGAAATAACTCAAGTGGTGTGCGTTGATTGGTTGGCTACAAGGTGGGCTACACGGTCGGCACCATGGTCCATCGCTCATGGTTGGCCACATGGTGCCACGGTGCGAAGGCAGGCGTGGAGGCAGGAGACGGACGGGGATGGGAGCACGGGGGCAGGAGACGGACGGGGGTAGGGTGGTTACGGTGCCACCCCGGGAACAGACTCTCTCTCTCTCGCACACAACACACAACGCACACACAGTGTGTGTGTGTGGCGGTGTGTGTCTGTCTACGTCGACGTCGACGTGTACCCGTCTACGTCTCTACGTCTCTCTACAGGCCGCTACCTTATGCGCGACTTACTCTCTTCCTCATTCTCATTCTCTGCCTTTTTCTCGCTACGAAGTTGTTGTTTTTTTGTCTGTTGTTGTTTCCCGTGTGTGGGCGAGCATATATATTATTGTGCAACATGCCTGAATAGTGTCATTACCTGAGCATCCAGGTACAGGATCAGGACTAATGCCTGAGATGGTAATACGGAGACCAGGATTCGTGGAGCTTTCATATGAAAGGTCCCTTGTGCAGTTGGGCGTATCCTTACCTGTGCTTCCTGGACTATCCTTGTTTGTGTCTGGTGCTGCAGCACGTGTGGCTCCTTGTGGTTCTGATGGTTCTGCTGGACGTGCGGGTTCTGGTGGAGGAGGAGGTGGTGGTGGTGGTCTTGCTGGTAATACTGGGGATGCCGGTGCTTGTGGTTGTGTCCCATCTGCGCCTGTGGACGGATCGTGCCTGCCTGCTGATGATGGTGAGGATGGTGCCGGGGCCTTGTTCTCGTCCTTCTTCTCAGGAATAGGCTCCGTTGGTGCCTCTGGTACCTTAGGTGGTGGTACTTCCGGTTTCTTGCCTCCTGCAAATGAAGGCGGAAGAAAGATGATAAAAAAAAAAAGGGACACACGTGGCACAGAGAGCAGGGGCGGGACGGTTCGGTCAGGTACCGGCAGGGTGGGCGTCCGGCTGCATGCGTCGATGCAGTGGGTCGATGCAGTGGGTCCAGGTGCACTCGGTTGACTGCGTACTCGGTGAACTGGGGGTAGATGGTAGCCGTACACTTCTACTTTTCGCCGTCCGCGACCGCGGTCCGGTGCATCTCTCGTCGCCCCTACCGCACACACACTCGCTGCCTTCTCTCCATCTCACGCACCACTGTCCGAGCACTATTACGCCGTGACGCCGCACACATACAGACCTCGTCTACACAGGCCCTCGCTACATAATCGTGGTCGCCGCTCAACGTCAACGAAGTCGTTTGCTGTGCTTTTCCGCCGCGTATGTGCGTTGTTGTGGTGGCATGCATACGGGCCGTATCGGACCGTACGTTAGTATTGTTACGAGTCGTATTCTTACCTTCCTTTTCCTTCGTTTGAATTTCTGCCTTTACCTTTTCCTTCGCTTTCTCAAAGACCCTTGTTGCTTTTTCCTTGACGTGCTTCCCCACTTTGTTCATTTCTTTAATTCCGCCTGGGGTCAAAATTTTCTTAATAGGCGCCCCTTCTATTGCCTTCCTATTAATATAACTTTTCCACTGCTCTTCACACGGCATGTCGCCCTCTATGGTCCCTATTTCTTCCATTATTCCATGGTCTACTAACCACTCTGCTATGTCTCCATTTATTATTCCTGGTTGCGTCTTATTATCTCCATACCCACATTGTGTGCATCTTCCATCCATAACAGGACCAGATAATATTATTTTACCATCCTTATCTTTGTGCATGTTCTTCATTGTTTTCCAAGCGTACTCCACACCCCTCTTCCATCCTGGATTATGTTTGCAATACTGATTCTTGAGCATGTATCCAAATACGTTCGCTACCTCACACCGGAACCTTTCGTACAATTTATCGTCATCCATATCTCTGCTGTTCCGTGGTATATTATCACCGTTTGCAAAGAATAGTGCAACACTCATAAGTCTGCACCGTACGACATCTGCTACCGTTTGTCCCTTATATTGATGAGCATCGTCGAAATCATCCCAACCAGAATTATCACAGTTGGCACCGTATGCATCCATCTGATCCGTGTGCTCCTGCATATAATCAATAAAGGCCTGCAATGCGGTCTTCATTTTTTGCAGTGCATCACTCTGTATGATGTACATGGGAATATGGGAATATGCATGACTACATTTCATGTGTATTTTACCCACCAGGAGCGTGGACACTCTGATATATACATGTAACTGTATTAATAGGTTTTTCTTCGTGTTCTTCCCTGTTTCCTTCACGTAAACTTACATCATAATTCTGCAGCACGTGTACGTGCCTGCTCTTGCCTTCCAATATGCTCTTCCATGGACAATCCTCTTGTTTGGTCGTCGTCGTCCCCTTCTCTGCGGCAGCACCAGACTTACCATCACTACCACTACCACCACCAGCTGACGTCGTCCCCGGTCCCGTTCCCGATGTTGCCGGTTTCGCCGCTACTGGTTTGGTAGCGTTGCCTGCTGTGGCCGGGGCGTTCCCCCCTGTACGTGCAGTACCCGCTTGTGACCCGCCTGCTTGTGTTGATGTTGTCTTTGTATCCTGTGATCCTCCGCCTTCTGCTGCTGGTCTTGATGGCCGTGGTGGCCTTGCTGTTGATGATGTTTTCACGTCCCCCTGTGACGGTCCGTTACCGCCTAGAGCCTTTGAACGGGAGTCCTGGTCGTTCTTCTCCCTATCTCTCTCCTGCTCTAATAATTTCTTTACACAATTGTCATCCCCATCACTACAAACTCCTATTCCCTTTAATATTTTCGACACTTTCACTTTTATATCCTCCTGCACGTTGCTTATCTCTTCCTTCACTTTCTCCGTCAACGCCGTACTGTGGTCCCCATCGCCTAGTGTCGCGCCTGCTTTCTTCTCCACATGACATCCTGGCCCCAACACTCCCCAATCCCCGTCCCCTAGGTTCATCTTATGGCCTTCATTCCATCTATTCATTACTTCCCAAAGATCTCTATCCTTTTCATCTCTTCCACTGCCATCTCCACCTATCCCTGCATCCTTCCACTCACACTCCACATTACCGAACTGCTGGTGCAGAACGTCCTGTACTTCTCCATGCACAAGATTAAACGCCCACAGTCCACCAGGTCGCTTTAAACAATTCATTCCCATTATTTTCTTCATAAATATATTTGTCAGGATGCATGTCATATAAGGGTCTACCTTCTCTGTATCTTCGTCCATATGCCTGCGTCTCACAGGATTCCCGGATAAATCAACTCCATGTTTAAAACGTAACGCTATAAGCGCCATCTCGCATATACCCATGTCCTCAGCAGTCCACATTTGTCCTTTAGCTACATCAGTCTCCCGTCCTATTTCACACATTGACTGCGCTTTCGTGCTTTCCGCAGTACTCTCCATATAACTCCTAAAATCCTCCCACAGTGTTCCCACATTGTTCCAGAAGAGTTTCTATGCGTACAAGATGCATCATATGTTAGGATGTGAACAATATATTTTCCTTCACTTTTCTTTGTTATATAATGCTGTACAGAATTACACTCTGCCCTTATATATATGCATTTCCCCCGTCTGAATGACGCACAGAACTTTACAATATAAAAGCATATAGGCTGCCCAGTGCAATTCTCAATGTGACTCCACTACATATGCACATTATAATGCAGCGACGCTGTCCCCCACTCTTTTATATATATTAACGTACCCTAAATTTGTCATCTTCCTTCACTCCTATTTTTGTCCTTCCCTGCTCAATATAATTGTCCCATAATAATATTAAATAGTTCCACATGGTTTTCCTCCTATTTTAGTTGTATATAGGATGCCACTATCCTTGATACTTATTCAAAGGCCACATTAACTGTACATTAGCCTTCGGAATCATATTCCACTAACAGAAACTTCTAGTCGTGCATGCTTCAAATATTACTGCGCCTTGTGCACTAAAATCCTTAACCACAAATAGCCCCTTCTACAACACTCTCTGTGCGCACACCTAAAACGAACAACAACAACATCAATGTCTTGTTCCGTCGTGGCCGCGTTGCGTCCGTCGTTTTTCGCCCTCCCACAAAATATGTGTGTTCCGTGAGCTCTCCCGCTCTCTCTGTCCTCCCTCTCTGTGATGCCCCTCTCTGTGGATCCTTCCATCAAATCACGGCACACGGACAATGCCGTACTCGAACAAACCCGTACCCGGCCGTGTTTGCTCGGAGAGACAATCTCTCCTCCTTCTTACCCTCGGCACAATGCTTACTCGGCTACTTCGTCGAGTCGCGTCACTCGGATAAGGGCGAGTACCCGGCCACGTTTGCTCGGAGAGACAATGTCTCCCTCCTTTCTTACACTCGGCCGCTTTACTCGGCTACTGCGTCGAATCGTGGTTACACTCGGCTACGTCGTCGACGCGTGTACTCGGAGAGACAATCTCCCGCCTTGTTACGCGCGGACAATCCCGTTTACTCGGCCGCTTTGGTCGACGCGTTGCTCGCAGAGACAATCTCTCCTCCGTCTTACATTCGGACAAACCCTTACTCGGCTACTTCGTCGAATCGTGTACCCGGCCGCGTTTGCTCGGCTACAATGCGGTTGACGCGGCCGCGTTTACCCGGCCGCGTTTGCGCGGAGAGACAAGTTCTCCTTACACTCGAATGCGTAGTCGCATGCTATAGTTGTGCTGCACTATGCCCGTAGAATGCACGTTTGCAGCTTTTAATAATTAACTTCACATAAAGGAGAATACTAACCCTTCATATTATTCATGTAAATCTACATTTTATATGCATTTAACCTCTACAACCGTATCTGTATAGTCATGTTAAAAGAAGTGGACTACACAGAAAAAGAACAAGGCAAATGTAAGCACAAGTAGAAGAGAGCAGAAAAAAAAAAAAGAAGGTATAGAATAATGTAAACAAGAAATGTATTATGTATATCACATAATGAAGTAAAAGTGGTCTACCGTTAGCATGCGTTATGTCGCATGCATATGCGCCGTCATCCGAAGGTCACAGTTGCTCCAATAGTTCATCCACATATAACTCCCTATCGTGCAAACGACATTCGACCTCGCACTGTTCTATGACTAATGCCAGGATCAGTATCCATGTTTGAGCGGTTAACGGTTGTTGCATGTAAGTTTGCGGATGCAGTTGCGTGCGTGGTACATCTCTCACTATCAGTATATGTTCTGTTCCCATGACTTTTTCCACTTCTAAGTGTTTTTCTACTCGAGGTACTTCGCCTGTTGCTGGTATTTGCTCTTCGATATTCTCTAACAAATGCTGAAACCACTCCTGCGCACCATATATATTCATAAGCGCATGTTGTTTTGCAACCCATGGTTTCCACAATCGCAGTTTGCGCATCTGTAGGGTTGCCGCTTCACCGAAGACAATGTGCCCAGATACTCTGTTGTGTGCGTGTTGCGCCATGTGCTCACGCAGGTATTGTTTCCAATCCGCTTTTAATTGCAAAAACCACGGCTCCGTCGTGCACGCCCGCACAATATGTTTGTTGCGGTCAATCCAGGTAATCCATTGGGTGCACGCCGACGTCGCGTCACCGTGGTCGGAAGGGCGAGTTTGTTCATGGTCTAACTGTATGGATTGCATACAATTCCATCGGTCATCTTCGTTAGGTGGACATGGGACCGTTGCTAAGTGTATTGTTTCCATGCAGCTCCATAGATCTGGGTCATGTGGTGGACAAGGGCCCGTTGCTAACTGTATGGTTTCCATACAACTCCATGGGTCATCTTCGTTAGGTGGACATGAATCTATTCCTGCCGAGTCAGTGGAAGAAACATGGGTCCCTGATAAACCCTGCTTTGTGGTAGAAACACCCAAGATATTGTTATTCGTGTCCGTGTCCGGCTGCAAGTCACGCGCAAACACCTCCACGATAATCCCGTAAAAATCGTCTTGCACCGTTGCCCAATCTGCCGCTTCACATTCGTTGAGCACTTCTAGATGTAGCTCGATGATCGTGCGCTTATGCACGCGTGGTGGGCGTTGTCCGCGGCGTTCAGCAGCAGACGCAGGTTGCGTAACCATCGTGTACCCGTAAGCGGGTGGCGGCAGTTCGCCGCGTTGTAGATGGTCTAGAATGTCTTCGTCGAGTGGCGGTGACGGCACGTCACGAACGGTTCGATATGTTCGTCGTCGTTTGGCGAGGTACGCAAAATACTAAGCAGAAAAAGGGGGTAAAGAGGAGGGTGAGGACGGTAGGATAAAAGGAATGAACGTGGGTGTAGGAGTATATGGATTAGAACGAGCATATATTGGTGCGCGTAGGGATGTGCTGAGGTATAAACATCCTGCACGCGCGGCATGCCCTCATTGTCGTATATACTTACCTTCCACAGGAAGAATGCAATGATCCCAATACCAACCACCGCGGGAATGATCGCGGGTACATATGGGACGAGATCCTGGGGGTCAAAGGGTTTCGACGGAGGGAGGCTAGGAAGAGTTTGATCATTACTCATTGAACCCTGTCCCCCGGAAGTGCTGGAACCAGCTCCCTGTTGACCCCCACTGGAGCCAGTACCTGAGGTACCTGGTTGCGAAGTGCCCGTGGAGCCAGGTCCTGAAGAACCTGGGGTGTGTTCACCAGTAGAACCTGAACCGGATGGTTCTGAAGCAGAGGATGAGGAACTTCCACTTCCTCCCCCTCCCCCACCTCCTCCTGGTGCTCCTGGACCTCCGCCGCCACCGTGTTCAGTACCTGCTGTGGACGCTTCGCCGCTGGTGGGGCCGCCGTCGGAACCCGATTGATTTGGGTTCGGGTTGGGTTTTGGTTTGGGTGGATTGGGAGGAGGGGGGTCATCGTTGCCGCCATCAACGACGGCATCCTGAACACCGGTACTTCCTGGTTGATGATCCTCAACTTTTGTGTTTTCAGTATTTCTACTTTCCCCATCTGCAGCCTTCGTTTTGGAAGAATCACCAGCGCTATCTGTGCTTTTAGTGTCAGGTACCACTGCACTCATTGTCGGCTCATTGCTTGCTTCTTCAGTTCCTAAATGGGTATCAGGGGGAAAAGGGAAAATGTAGAAAGTTTCGAACCTGATGTTTTTGTCGGTCGCTGATGGTTGGCTGACGACACTGTCCGTCGTTGGTTGGTTGCGTGACCATTGGGCAACGCGTGGTTGCGGTGCATCCCTCGTCCATTTGTGCACCGCGTGCCCATTGCAGCAATATATAAATGTTTTTTTTGTTTGCCCTTTTTTTCTGTTTAGTTCCTTTTTTTTATTTATTTTTTCTTTCCTTTTTTCCCCCACAGTCTCCAACATGTGTGTATACTTTTCCTTTTTCAGGTGCCTTACTTTTCTCCTTCTTCTCTTGCTCCTGCAGTAACTTATTAATAGTATCCATACCAACTCCACCAGTGGGATCATAGGTTGTGGTGGTGATCTCAGTTGTTATGACTGCAGTACCAAGTAGAGTTTCAGCAGTCTTGCTGTCAACTACTTTTCTCTCTGTCTCACCTGGTGTCGGTGCGTCTACCTTTGGGTTGTGCTTGTTTCCATCCTCGTCCACCTTAGGTCCCGATGTGCCGGCTGCGGATGCTGGTGGCTCCTTTCTACTATTGTTCCCCGGCGGTGATCCTTCCTGTTGTGGTGGAGGTGGGGGTTGTTGTCCAGGTCCTGGTCCCTGACCCGGTCCTTGGCCTACTTTCCCGGATTCTCCGCCTGAACCT